ACGGGGTCTCACTCTTGCTCAGGCTGGTTTCGAACTCCTGAGCTCAAACAATCCGCCCGCCTTGGCCTCCCAGAGTGCTGGGATTACAGGCGTGAGCCACTGCGCCCGGCCAATATGTGTAGTGTTTTGAAATGAGAGGTACGTCAGCATTATCCGTTTTCACCCTAATGCATGAAGGAAGAAGAGACAAATACAGCATTTTAAGACACTTCTGTTTAATGAAGAAGAAAAAAATGACACTTTATATACTTCGTAAAGTTACAATTAGCCATCTGAATACGGTTATCCATGACAGCCAAGCTCAGGGCTTTTAGAGTTTAAACTCTGTATTCCACAGAAGCTGCATTAAACCTTTGAAGTCTAGATATCTTTAAGAAGGACTTTTTAGTCAACCTTCTAAGGGTACTTTCAAGAGGAATTTGTTTTTGCAGATATTTTTAGCCTGCACCTGTATTAATAATTCCTTATCTTGCTTCAGACAATTCCTTTTTGCTAGAATTAAAGCAGAATGTGCAGGGCCTAAAGAACTCTAAGACCTAAAAGAATATAGGAAATACTGAACTATAAAGAAAGGACTAAGAGGTCTGTAATTTGCTTCAATAATATTTAGATGGAGCTATTCACTTGGCGATTGGAAATATGAGTTTCAAACTCAGAAAAGAGGTGGAAGCTGAAGGTTTGCCTTATACAGATCAGTGAAAGCAATGGGAGTATATGAGAGTACCCAGAGAGGACAGGTGGAGCCAAAAAAAAAAAAGAACACTGATTTTTTTCACTGATGCAAGTTGGTATTTTTCTTCTGGTGTCACAAGATTGAAGATTCTTTGATGACTTTATTATAGGCTCAATAAATATCTAGCTCAAATTGTTCCTATCTACTGCTTTGTGGTTTTCTGAGGATCGGGAGGCTTTTTTGGTCAAAATCTCGTACCTTAGGCCAGGCGCGGTGGCTCATGCCTGTAATCTCAGCACTTTGGGAGGCCAGGAGTTTGAGACCAGCCTCAGCAACATAGGGAGACCCTATTTCTACAAAAAATTTAAAAAATTAGCCGAATGTGGTGGTGTACGCCTCTGGTCCTAGCTACTTTAGAGGTGGGAGAATTGCTTGAGCCCAGGAATTTAAGGTTACAGAGAGCTGTGATCATGCCACCGTATTCCAGCTTGGGTGACAGTGAGACCCTGTCTCCAAGAAAGAAAAAAAAAAAAAACTTCATACATTAAATAGTACCTTCCCTACCCAGCTCACTAAGTCAATACAAAGATTTTGGAGCAGAACGTGTGCTTTTCTTAATGGATAGATATATTGGTAGATTTTGCTGCTTACAGTAAATATTAACAATGATTTATAGTCAGAAGGACTGTAGAATATAAAAGTGATCAGAATCTACAAGCATTTATCATTCATCTATAGTCACACTTAATATAAGGAACCTAATTTTGCCCATAATTTTGATAATATATGGTTAAATCATTTTCTTATTCTTTGTTTTTATCATTCATTAGTAATATTCTCTTTACTTCTTTAGGATACTGAGGATTTGAAGTTAAATCATTCACCAAATATCATGGAGCCTATATATCCTCTTCCAAGGCCCCAGATGAATACCAGGTATAGAAATAGTTTTGCAAAATGTTTTTTACAGATGTTCATATAACTTGGGAATGTACGTTGGAAGAGAAGAAAGAACATAATCTTTAGAATCAGGAAAATCTGAGTACATGTTCCCAATTCTACCACTTGTTAGGTGGGTGACTTTGATCAAGTTAATTAACTAAGCCTCATTTCCTCATCTTTAAAATGGGGATGTTAATCTCTTTAACAGAAGATTACTGTGAACAGTTAAGTAAGATTACTAAACTAAAGGGTCTGGCACACAGTAGACACTCAGTTCCATTTCTTCCTTCACTTATTTTAGTTATGTAGAAGATCTTTTTATTGATGGGAAATAGTACCTGAGGCTAAAATTTACATAGATGTTTATTTATATCCTAGACAGGTGGGAGAGTGGTTGGCTTCCTTCCCTCCTCAAGATGCTAATCCCTTAATGGGAATAATTTCACACTGGGTATACCAAGTTTCCTGAAATGTCCTAAGTCTTTTCCACTTATGTGGAGCCAGGAAGGAGGAGCTTGCCATCTGTCTCCTAATTTTTTGTCTGTCATTACTTTGAGGACTAGGAAAATTAGCTTGTGTTATTTGGCTCTTTGGATCATTTATTGCTCTTTTTCCCCTAGGGAAGAACAATTAATGTTGACATGTGAATTTTTTTTAATTCCAAACTAGAATTGCATCCATGGGGTACCTTTTTTCTTTGTATCGTCTTTCTTTGTACCAGATGTTCCTGATGAAGACTATGGAAATCATGACTCCAGGGGGCTATCATATTCCTTTTGCTTTAATTTTGGCCCTTCTGTTCTACCCCATTGCATTTTATTCTTTGAAAATTTGTCAACTTCTGTTCTTTTTTTTTTTTTTTTTTTTTTGAGACAGAGTCTC